CGACCAGGGGCTTGCCTGAAAAAAAACACCTTCATGTGTCAGAGAGTTTGCTACTCTACCTATGTAATGTACTTCTTCTAGTTACACGGTTGCTCGCCACACTGCCCCCCTCCACCCATGCAGCAAGAGCTACCGCATGGAGGACTGGCTGCACTTCGTTGAGACGTTCTCCAGGTACATCTTCAAGGGGGACGTGCTGCCCGAGGCCTTGCGGGCCCTGTGTTGGAGCCTGTGCAGCACGGTCACGCACTACTTCTGGCCGCGGCCCCCCGACGAGACCCGTGAGCAGTTCCTGGTGGCAGCCAAGGCGGCTGCATGCAAGCTCAGAGCTTACACGACCAGGCTGGAGGAGTTGGAGGTGCCGGGCTACATGTTCACGGTCAACCTGCATATCTGTGTATGCCGGCTGTACGACCAGGAGTGCCAGCTTGGGTCCGCGGCAGGGTTCTCCGACCTGCCGGTGGAACGCATGATGCAGCAAATGAAGACGCAAGGCGGAAGGATGGTGTCACAGGCACCCGAGAAGCACTATGCGCAGTGGCTGTGCCTGATGTGGGCCTCCGAGTCGCTCACCGAGGCAGACCCCGCGACCGGGGCCAAACACACGACCAACCAGCAGCTTGAGAGGATGTTGGCACGGCGCGCAGTGAACACCGAGGCTGCCTGGTTTGATAAACCAGGAGCCAACGGTTACCTGCTTGGACGAGGCCACATGGTCTACCCGAGTCCAGAACGAGTGGCACAAGTCCGGGCAGCCATGGCGAGCCTAGTGCACTGGTATGCCCTGGCATTCGAGGATGTGGCTTCCTGGACATTGGGTCCCAGTGCGAGCTACGAACTGGACACGGACCGCCTGGATAGGGTTCTCATGTCTACACCACCCGACTGTCCCAAGGCCCGCTCCTTTTTGCGTGCAGAGGCACTCGACGAGGAGCAGTACTTCAGGGCTGAGTATGGGCGCCAGCAGCAGCGGACCTCCTGCTGGGCATGCTACCAGGCAGAAGTCGGCAACGAGACTCGGACGTATGCGGCCTACCTCAAGTACTTCGTCCACCTGCCCGCAGAAGATGGCGCTCAGGATGTCCGCTTCACTGTCGCAGATGTGTACTCGGGACAGGTGTTCAGCGGGGGGCTGGTGGTGGTCAACATGGCGGCCGCCCAGACAGTGAGGGCAGGCAGCCAGTGGGAGATGTGGCAGGACCTAGGGCTGCCGCTAAGTGAGCTGAAGGGCAAGTTCTGCACAGCCGCCCCGGAGGGGGACCGAAAGGGGCTGATGTACTTCATGCCATACACACACTTCACCAACCGCTGAGCAACTGCAGCAATGAGGCCGATGGATGCACCCTTGTCTGGTTGACAACGAATGACTACGAAAGTTATCCCATGCACATGTGCAACAGATGGCACGCATGTACATACATATGCAGGCGTATATGCGTAAAGGCACACTGGCAGTCCATATGCCCGTATGGAGTTTCGGTTCAGTACTCAAATGGCTTCACATTCTGCATTGTTGGAAAGAGTGCCGACAGTGTAAAGTGCGAGGCAGACACCGCCACAGCAGTATCGGCGGGACTAGTACGACTGGTTGCTGACTGTCCAGTTCACTTGATGTGTGCTTGCTGGTCACAAAGTGGACGGCACCCACATTTCAAAGGAGTGGCCCAGATGCGCCATCCCCTATAACAAACACGGTTGTTCCAGAAGGGTTACAATTGTGACCGAATTAACACACGTGTCAGCCATGATTGTCGCCCATGCCCTCACTTCCATGTGTTTCTTGTCCACCCATGCCACCAGCTTCTCTACTGACAGCACATTCCCCTCCGAGCATGCAGTCGTCGAGCGGATACAGTGTATCCTTCTGCAACCATTCTTGAGACTTGTGCTGGTATGAGCCGGCTGCCTTGTAACCCTTTTGGAACCACCCAGACCACACAAAGGGTTTAAGACAATAAGCCTCCCATTGGGTATTCACCCTAATCAGCCCTGGCAGCCGGTACTCTGAATTAATGCGACACACACGTGAACCCACCCCCTCCATCATCAATCCCCATCATCACAAGGCCACCTGATTTGCCGCCTTAAGGCAAGCTTGTGTATGGCCCTCTACAAGACGGGGGGCCCGGTGAGGTCAGCCGCCAGTAGCTCCTTGTACCCAGTAGCTCCTTGTACCCCCGCGCGGGAAAACACCTTGGGGTAGACGGGGCCGAATGTTAGCGAAGCAGCCTCTACCCACAGAAGCCCCTAAATGAGCGTGCCGGTGGGCCACTCGCAGGGATACACAGAACAGATTGAACAGCGAAAAGAAACGAAGGTCCACGCGAACCTCGCAGAGATAGTACTGATGGCGAGCTGGCGGTATTCTAGTATGGGCGCCGTACTTGTATACTTGCATGTCATCAGCCAAGTCTTATCATGACCTGCCTCGCTGTCTATGTTCTTGTATTCCATTGTTATACCTATACAGTTTACACTAGCCACGACTCTAGGATACAGGACGGACCAATAGCTTCCGCGCCGTCTTGACCTGAACAAGTGCAACTCTATAGTTCCATAAGCTGGAAAATGGAACAAGACTTTCCCGGAAGTATTGAACTCCGGTGTGCTTTAGGGGATTCCTATGAACATCAGAGCCTAAACGTGATACCGCTTAGTTTTGAGCTGGGAGGTAACATGATATCAGCTAGCATGTTCAAGGAGCAGAATGCAATGTATTACTTTAAAGGCTGTTCGGGATCAGCCAGGAGGGCCTGGCCATCGGCGGGCCCGCGCCTGGCAAGGCGACCGCCACCAGCAACTTCATGACGCAGTTTCAGAAGAAGGTCTTGGACAAGATCCTGCGACCGTCGACTATCACTGCAGACCACGGTGCTGTGGCAGCCGCAGTGGGAGCTGAGGCAGTGGATACTGCGGCTAACGACGGTGATGCCCTACCCAATGGGAGCATGTATGCCTATATACAGACCCATATGCCCTGTTCCCTGTTACAGGGCTGTTATGGGGCCCCTGTAACGGGGCAAGCGACCCTGTAATGGATTCATGGTCCCGCGTAACGGGGCCCCTTGTTACTGGTCGCTTTACGCGTTACAGGGTCCCAGTACAGACCATAAGACCCATCTGACAAGAGGCAGTACAGACGTATTGCAAGTCGTTGTATGTCCGTTTGTTCGTTGAATTCGTTGCATGCGTTGTACTTTTGTACAGCTAAACAATTGTTTAGGTGTAATTGTGGCAATTTAAAATGGAATCCATTTCAGCTTTTCAAAGAATAAAACGTACAAAGATACATAACACGTTTGAACATTAGTTCATTGCACTGGCAACCTTAGCAGTGAAGAGCCTGTCGCGAACTTGCCTTTATGTTGCGGTCTTGGAATGACCAAATTTAAAAAGGCACTGAAAGCTGCTACAATTAAGCCAGCCATAAACCAGGCCGTCACACCCACCGCAGCGATATTAGAGGCGATGCTCCACAACACGCTCTCCCCGGTGGTGGCGGCCGCGGCCCGCCCCCCACATGCTCTCCCGGGCTCCCCTAGCCCTAGCCCTAGCCCTAGCCCAAGCCCAAGCCCAAGGCCCAAGCCCAAGCCCAAGCCCAAGCCCTAGCCCTAGCCCTAGCCCTAGCCCTAGCCCTACACCTCCACCGCGCGCTCTGCCTGCCGCCATGCACCCTCCCGGTAACCACATGCTCTCCCAGCCCTACACGCAGCCCCACACACTCTCCCTGTCTCCACACACTCCCCCTGTCTCCACACACTCTCCCTGCGCCCACATCATCTCCCATCCCATGTGTTCCCCCAACCCCCATGCTTTCTTCCCCCAAACTCCATGCTCTCATCCTGATCCCCGCTCGCTCCACCCCATCCCCGTTCTCCCTCCACACTCCCATGCTCCTCCCAAACCCCTAACCCCATGCTGACCGCCCAACCCCAACTCTCACGCTTCCCGCCCGATGCCAAGCTCCCTGCTTCCCACCCATTACAAACCCCATGCTCTGCACCAACCACAACCTCAACCCCATGCTATCCCTTGACCCCAACCCTCTTCCATCCCCTCCCCAAATAACGCCCGTGTCCCAATCCGGCCCTAACACCCATGCGTCCCCCAACCCCAAGTCCTTTATTCCCCCTCTATAAAAGGCCGGAAATGCTAGTACGGAAGTCGCAGGGAAGGTCCACCGGCTCCGCACCCGTGGTGTAAGACATGAGAGGTGAAAATAGGCATGACGTAGTAACGGTTCCATAGATGTTCCCAATGCATTCATATGGGTAATTCATAGGTGAGAATGTAAAAATTAATAGGTGCGTGATATGGAATCGATCTGCCGACCTTATAATCACTGCATCATCATCATCCTGCCGGCAACGCGGATTAGGCACTTCATGCATATGATTGCACCATATTATATCTATATTATTGGTATTATCTGTATACAAATTAAAGATGTCGTACATTTCTGGATTTGTATCCAGAAATGTACGACATCAGCAGCCACAGCAGCATCTTTAGAGTGATGTTTAATTTGTAGTTATAACGCAATAGGTAGTACACAATTGTGGGTTTTCGTTACATAATAATAACTTAGGTAAATAACGACAAACACGACAAACTTCAACCATGGCAACCACCAGTACTGCTCCAGCACGTTTTCGCGACTTAAATAAATTTACAAGCATTAAAGCTTCTTACAAGGTGTACAGATAATGTATTAACGAGGTCTTATCATTTGCTTCAGTTACGAATTCTGACGCAGCGCGACATCGCCAGTACAGGTGAATGCTATGTACTCCCAAAACATGCGCGGCAAAGAATCTAGCACCAAGCGTCTAAAGGTGCGGAGGCGACGCGCACGTGCATGCTCCGTGCATGCTCCGCCGGTATCTGAGCTCCGCACTGAACCCATACGAGACCCCCCCTGGGGGCTGGTGGAGCGCCTGTTGGGGGCTTGGGGAGCGCATTGGGGGGGGGCTTGCAGAGCGCCTGGGGGGGGTGGGGGAGCGCCTGTTGGGGGTGGGGGACGCCTGGTTGGGGCTGGGGGAGCGCCTGGGCGGTTTGGGAGCGCCTGAGGGCTTGGAGAGCGCCTGGGGGGGGTCTGGGGGAGCGCCTGGTGGGGGCTGGGGGAGCGCCTGGGCGGTTTGGTAGCGCCTGAGGGCTTGGAGAGCGCCTGGGGGGGGCTGGGAGAGTGTCTGGGGGCTGGGGGAGCGCCTGGGGGGGGCTGGGGGAGTTACAGCAGCTGCAGCAGCCACAGCAGTCGCTGCAGTCACAGCAGCTGCAGCAGCCACAGCAGTCGCAGCAACTGCAGCTGTTGCAGCAGCCACACCAGTCGCAGCAGCCACACCAGTCGCAGCAGCTGCAGCTGTCGCAGCAGTCGCGTCAGCTGCAGCAGCCGCAGCAGTCGCAGCAGCTGCAGCTATTGCAGCGGCCTCACCAGTGGCAACAGAGACTGGATCGGGAACAGCTTGATAAGGAGCATCATCAGAAGCTTCTGCGTGGACAGCTGCTACTGCAGAAGCTAAAGCAAGACGAACATCAGACGGTTCATCAGCCATTTCAGCTGGACCTTTCACAGCAGCTTGCACCGTTTGGCGTTCAACATGAGCAGCATATAGAGCAGTTTCAGGCACAAGCGACGACAGCAGTGTCAGAGAATAATGTACCGGGATATGAGGGTGTAGCCGACATCAGGAAGCGCAGGACACCGGATGCACATCCGTTTCAGGCGATACAGGTAAGGTTGCAGCCATAGTCCACGTCGCGATCTGCTGCACCACATAGAAAGTGTAGTCTATGCAATGTCAATTTGCTTTGCAACCTGTCAGACGACGTTATAGGATCGCATGGAGGGGTTGGTGTGTATTGCTACTGTGTATGTCATAACCACACAACAGGAAAGGCGGCATGTATGTGGCTTAGCTCGTAGGTTTATTTGTTCGTATGAAGGGCAACCAGCATTGTGTTGATGGAAAGGCTAAATTAAGAGGATCCATGCAAGACTGAACATTGCATGCACCATACTGCCATGCTTCCTGTGTTGCAGCGGCGGAGGTTCTTGCCTTAGCTATGCTGCCAGTGGACATGAAAGTCGGGTAACCCTAAGCTCCACATCGATGGCGGCTGGGACGAGAGGGGTATGAGGGTGGAGGTAGGGCCTGGGAGGGGGCGGGGCTGGCTTCGGGGTGGGCCGGGGGGGCTTTGGGCTGAAGTGGGGGGTGGGGGTAGAGGGGATGAGTACGATGAAAGTTAGGGCTGAGGGGGTTTGGGGGCTGGGGGTGGGGAAGACAGAAGAAGGCGGGCGGAGGGATGGGGGAGGCTGGCATAGGAAGGGAGGAGGAAGGGTGGAGGAAGGGTGGAAGGGTGGAAAGGTGGAGGAAGGGTACAGTGAGTGTGGAGTG